ACGAGTTATGTAAGAACCACTATGGCCACGGCCACAGCATGCAAGATCTCCTCTATTTTATTAGGTAAATTGTGAACCTTGAGATGAAGTGAACCCCAGCGTGCTGCATGGCCCAAGGGTGGGTAGACTACTGTAGCTTAACTCTTTCTGTAATAAACACTGATACATCAATGCTTTTCTGTACGCCATGTGGTTACGTGATGATAACTCGTGGCACATAAACAGTTAACACCTTCATGACTAGACATCATTATTTTTTCTGAGAAAAAGCTAACCCAACATTTCAATTTCATTTGACCAGGACTAGTTTTAGTTCCAACATACAAGTTCTTAGCAAACGATTTTAAAGAACGTGTTAACTTCCTCTTTGGCAAATTATGTTTGTGTACTTGTCTTCAGGTATCTAAGTGTTGAATAATCCTGAAAAAACTTATAATATAAACATTGCATTTAATCTGTCTGATATGAGCTGTATTGATTTGGTTCTTTTCTACTCCTTGGAACAGCTTACTTTAAATGTATTAACACACAACAGTTTTTTACCGAAAATGAAGCTTTGGGTTTGTCTCATATTTACCTTGGTTTTGTACTACTGAAGTATTTACATATTCCAATTTCTGTGGACAGAGTCTACGCATTACCTAGTCAGTTGTCTGCCTTATACATACATGTAATTTGTATATATATTTGCAACTTGCAGCCTTCCAGTGTCTGTGGTGTAGTGGTAAGGCGCTTCACTGTTGCATGCAGAAGATGTGAGTTTGAATCCTGTGTCGGGAGACTAAGTGTATCCATCTTTCTGCAGGGACGTTGTATCCCTCTCAGCTGGGTTGACCCAGACAGGCTAGGTCAAAGTAGCCTACTGTTGAAGAAAGAGATAGATGAAGACTGTACAACAGATGGTAGATTATTACAATGTAAATAGAAGCAGACAGTTATAAAATAAAAAGATTCTACATAAAAGCTATTTTGAGAATGCGTTGTTATGAATTGCATTTGTGGCTGATTATCATAATGATTTTACTGTATGTATGTATGTGTATGTTTTAATGCCATTTTAAGACTTTTTAAACTTTATTTTTGTGAATGGGACCAACTGGGTTATGTGTTTTGTTTTTTTAACTTTTTTCATATCTGCATGTATGTACGCCTGGGTTTGGTTACATGTATTTTTTTGCTTTTGATTGATGTGACAGAGTTTATGCTAACTTTTCTGTTGAAAAAAAAAAACCAAAGCGGCAAACATTGACTTGATTGTGCATGGGAGAATTATTTACTCTATTATGAACTGAAAACCTTACTGTTGAAGAACATTTTTCTAGCTATGTTTTTAGAAAAACTATGCACTTTTCAATTTAATTATTGAGTTTTAACCCTATCCGTATGTTGTGTTTTACTATCGTATCCATACGATGTGGGGAACTCATTATTTTCACTTCCTCTTTACATTGTTGGCCTTTCTTTATAAATCTATACCCCATTTAAATCTGTTACCATAGTTCTTTAAAATTCAATGATTCAAGTCCCACCCCTTAAGACCACATTTAGTAGTGAATATATCATGGTTTTACACACTTTATAATTTTCTCAAATATAAGCCTGCACTGATATGACCTTTTACCAGTTGTGTTGCAAGTGCTGTAAAACTCTTACTTTAAAAAATGAAGAACTAAATCTACATGATTATTGGCAGCGAGTTTTTTCAAAGCCCAAGAAACAAATTTTGGAGAGAGACAAAATTGTTTCTTTCTTTTAACAATTATTCCCACGCTATGTATCTTCTTTTTTTTTGCTTTCTTCAACATTTGAAATTTTAATTTGAACGAAATTATTCTCAAGCACTCGCGACCCATACCTCAGATAAAGAAACTGTAATAAACAAAATGTTCAAAACTTGGGGTTTAGTACATTGGAAGAGCAGACTGATGATGAAGTATGTTTGCAACATTCTTGTTGTCAAAGTGCTCAAATCGAACTGTGAAGATTTGGACCACAAACAATCTTTTTTGTAGTTTTCCACACATTTATTGCTTCTTCGATGTTCTTGTAACTGTAGTGTGCCTCAATACAAAGTTTGTGAATAGAAGTATAAGGATCTTGCAGTATATAGATACTGTATAATTTGATTATTTTTGTACAACCCCAAAGTACCATTTTTCCCATAAATCATTTTATTTATCTGCTGCGTGTGTTTATATACACAAAGACAACTACTTTGTGTTGCTTGATTAGATTGCAAGTTGAATCATTATTTTTTTCTTTTTTCACTTTAGTTTGAAAAGTGTGAACTTTTTTTTTTTCCATTTCAATTTTAGTTTGGAAGTTGAATAAAGCTGATTTCATCTTTTTGATTTTCCTCTGTATTAATTTTTTCTTGATTCGTTTTTTTAATTATATTATTTGAATGTTTTTTTATCATCATATCAACTTAACTTGATGGCATCTATTTAGCCCTTCTCTTGTGCATAGTGGTAATGCGCTTCCCGAAAACTGCAAAATTGTATAAAAATCTAATGTCCCTTGCAACTCTGTGAGGGCATGTCAGACATAGCTTACAGTTTGTTAGGGTTTTTTTGACAGGCATTGCCCACCAGGCCTCCGGCCAATTTGTTTGCCTTAGGACTGACAAGTCTGAGGTGACTGAAATTTATGTTTAGACGTACAGCTTCTTTTTTATAATACCTGTAGTACGTAATACAAATTACAATGTATTGCAGTGATTTTAAAAAGTACCACTTTTTTTACTAGGTATGAAATCTAGTGTTTGAAGTCTTCACATTTTTCCTTTTACATGTAATACTAAGTACTCTTAAAAATAGGTCATATTATTTCAACAACATCTTGATGCTGCAATTAGTGCTTACAGTACCCAAGTTGAAAAAATAGAAAGTTGGTATTTTTTCAAAATTTTACTTTGCAGTTTTTTCTATTTTTTAAAAATTTTTTTGTTTTTTAAAGTTTAGGTCTGTGTTTACCAAAAGCCTCAAGAACTTTTGATCATTTGTGAACCAAGAAAGATGGTAGGTTTAACTTAACATCTGAGAAATTGAGCCATCCTCCCCACTCATGAATAAAACTCGGGTCTGCGGCGTCGTGCACAGGGCTGCCCACCATTATGACTTTGGCGGAATCGTAGCGATTTTTATTCAATTTTACGAAAATACGATCATAATATCCCTGATGCCGATTTTTAAAATAATTTGGCTACCCCCAACCCAGTGCCAACTTTCCTGGTGTATAAGGAGAGAAAAATAGAAAAACCACCATGCCCCAAGAGTCACGTCACTACGTCTCTTGCAGCTGTGTAATTTTAGCAGTGTAAGTATAACAACCTCTTTGCGTTGAGCCTTTATAGCAAAGGCCGTGTATGGTCTTTGCTTATAGTATAGTCGCCCATTGCTACTTTTGCCCTTGGAATAACATTATTAGTCTTTAGAAGTGCTAAAGCCAGGAGTAAGGCAAACATTAGATTGACGAGGTGTGAGAAAATTCCTGCCGTTTTTGTATCACCACCTCTTTGTTTGCGTTACTTTTATACTATACTGGACTACAATCCCTGTCCTTGACACCTCATCGAGGAAGATTTTCCATGGCCGTGTTACGGATTTTTAAGCCAGTTTACTAATTTTCTATCCTTTGATTACAGAAAAACTAAAACATGTTGGTTGGTGGGTAGCTCTACGTGAGATTGGGATAGCGAAATGCCTAACCATAAAAACCACATCACTGATATCTCTGCCTCTTTTATGTACTGGTGTTTTTATTAATCCATTTTTGACGAATTACTGAGAGAAAACGGGCTGTAAAAGTTAAAATAACTGTCAAGATACTATTAATCAACTAACAACTTATCGAGTGACTGTCCGCTGTGACCCGAGAATCGTCAAAGGGAAATGACCAAAAATAAAACAATCCCACATTATACTTGAATTGCTTCCTTTATTTTGTAAATAAATGGGGGCTGGGCTGAAGGTCAGCAGACTCTGCATTGAATGATTGGAAAGAGGAAAATGGAAGGCAAAAAAAAAGGTAGAAGGATGTAGGGTTAGAGAGAGGCACATGCAGTTGAATAAGTATTGAATTTTTAAACTTTTTTAGTAAGAGTTTTACGGCTCTTGCAACACAATAAGGTCATAGTGGAACTCGGATTCAACGAGGTCGTCGGGCCTGACCTAAAATCTCGTTGAATCCGAGTGTTCGTTATAGCAAACACAAGGTTTTGTGTAGATAATTACAGGCACTGAGCAAGTAATGTATAAAGAGGAAGTCACAAGTAGTGCCTGAAAGGCCTGCGTATTTTGAGCTGTGTAAAAAAAAAGACCGATTCGTTCGATTGTTTACCAAAAAGCTGTGCTGCAGTGTAGAGCCTAGCATACGGCAACTTTTGAAAACCAAGAACAGCGCACAATTCATTGTAACAATGGTCGGTTGCCAAGGGGGGGGGGGAGACTGACGCGTTTGTGTCTGCGACGTTCAACGCCCGGACCGCAACCCAATAAGGTCAAAAAAGTGCCGAAGACATGGTGTTCAAAGAGAGTAACAAACAAAAAAGGAGAGATAAAGGATAGATGTGTGATGATAGGAAAGAAGAAGCAGACCACACCAGAGCACCCGCCAACCACCCACAAACAAGGATGAGAGCTGTGACAGTCCGTACAGAAATGAGCAAACAGAAAAGGTATAAAGAAAGAAGAAAAAAAAGGAAGAGAACCCCCCCCCCCAAAAAAAAAACATGAACAGAACAGAACCCCCCCCCCCCCAAAAAAAAAGCGAGGCAACAGAACATAACATTGAGAAACGAATACGGTGGTTTCAATACAGAACAGCTGATATACAGAAGTCTGGAGTACAGCAAGAAAAAGTCCGGGTTTCAACTTGAACAGAAGGTGGGGAGAAACGAACAGCTTTGGTTTCAACCAAGAAAAGAAAATGAAAGAAGAAAGGAACGGACGTTTTGGTTTTAACTCAAGGCTTGAGATCCCAATCATCTGGATCAGTGGGGTTTGGTCCTGAAAAGGACCTTGTGCTAGCACCGAATGGCGCTGGTGCGGAAGAAGAGCTGAGAAGTAAATTTACTTCTTGGTAGCAGCAGCTTTCTTGGGCTTGGTGGTTTTGGGTGCGGCTTTCTTGGCCACTTTCTTGGCAGCTGTCGATTTCTTGGCAGGAGAGTTTTTCTTTCCCGGGCTCTTGGTGGTGGCCTTTTTCGTCTTGGCACCGGTGGCCTTTTTGGTAACTTTCTTGACGTCACCAGTCTTCTTGGATTTGGTTGGTGTCTTCTTGGTACCAGGAGCTTTCTTGGGCTTGACGGTTTTCTTGGGGGATTTCTTCTTGTCCTTGGGTTTCTTGTCCTTCTTAGGCTTCTTCTTCTCCACGGATTTCTCTCCCAGGCGGAAAGATCCGGCGGCGCCAGTTCCCTTGGACTGTTTCAGGGTTTCAGCCTTGACTCCGGCTCTCAGGGCGGTCTTGAGGCGGGCGTTGATGGCGGTGGGGTTGTCTCCGACCTTGTAGTTGGCGATGATGTACTTGAGGATGGCCTGTCGGGAGGAACCACCGCGCTCCTTCAGGGAGGAGATGGCAGCGACGACCATGATCTTGTACTGAGGGTGAGCCGGGGGAGCCTTGGGCTTGCCCTGGGCCCTCTTCTTGGCAGGGGTGGTCTTGGTTTGAGCAACAGCAGCTGGTGCGTCAGTCATAATGATGATGAATTGATGATCGTAGAGTTAGCGAAATGTCAAACTAACAATACTAAAGTGCGATTCGTAGTGTTACTCTGATTGAGAGTTGAAACATGAACTGACGTTTCGTCGAACCGCTTGGCTATATATTCCTGCCGCGCGGACGTCCGAGAGAGCATCTACGTCACTGCGCATTTCCTGCCCGGATGATGTCGGACGTTTCGTTGCGCGTCTCGAATCTGTGCAAGTGCATGTAGATTTAGGTGCTAAGCATTTATCCTCTACTAGTGAAACTTATTTCAATTTAATGCTTGGTTAGATAAATGAATTAAGAAACATATTTAACTGTTTTCCATTCTTTTCCACTCGCCTGCAGTTTGAATACAAAGTTTTCCTACCGATAATGTGTACATCCACTCTCACATTGACTTCATTAAAAATAATTTTTTTTAATTTTCTGTAATATTTAATGCTAGTTACTTTTAAAAATATAAAAGAATACTGATTTTTCTTAATCATGCGTATAGTTTTTGTAGCCACAATGTGCTGAATATTTTGTTTTTACTTATTTTCTTTTCTTATACCAGCACAATTCCAACGACTTTCACAAATTACAAACCGTGAATGAGGTTTTTTCATCCAATTCCCAGCATGAAAACGTCTGAAAATTATATTTCTTGGAAAAGTAATATTATAATCTTGAGTTTACCGATAAAATGCTTTCTTTAAATATTATATTGTAATGTGAAAAGCCGTTTTACCGAGGTCTAGTGTGTCGACAAAAGACAGCCTCGCAGGGTAAGATGGCCGCGAAAGGAGGAAATGTTGATTGCTGAGGTGGATCTGCAATTTTGGGTTCCCGCTCTTTATTTTCACTCATTTTGTCTTAAAATACATTCCTTTCGAACCTATTGTTCGTTTGTTCTAAGAAGAACATGCTAACACGTGAAATACTATGAAGATAGAAGCAAATTTTACCATGAAGTGGGGTCAACTTTCCGGCCTAGGTCACTCTGATCTGACATTTTGTCGAAACCATAGACTTTAGGTCGGAGATTTGTTTTGTCTGAAATGTTTATAAAAGTGGTGTATTCCGTCGTATTTCTAAGGTAAAGATGACCAATATACTTTTATTTTTCCCTTTACTATTCAAAATTCTCACCTTCTTGCTCATTATTGAGTTTCGCTTGCTTTTTTCCTTCAGAAATTCGGTGTGTTCATTTTCTATAAATAGATTCAGTACATCGACCTGTTTACGCTTCACGTCAACACGGTTGTTTGTTTGTTTGTATGTTTGTCTTAGAATATAAGAATGATGATTCCCAAAATCTGCTCTGATAGATCTATTACATGTTGTCTTTTGTAGCAGACAGAGAATCTACGCAAATGAGTTTTGGTTTCTTTTCTTCATTCTCATCATCACAAGCAGCTGCGGTTTAAGTTTAGAGCGATTATACATATCAGACCAAACCTAACCTAAAACATTATTTTCTTTCTTTATAAATAGACCTATCTAACATATTATTATTCAGCAACCATATAAAAGACATCGACCTATAGCATACCGGTGCTTCGACCGAAATATATCGTTTTAACAATATCCTTATATAATCCTGTTTATTGTCTTTTCCATCCCCGTCTATATCAATCTTTATGTTTTCTTCTTTCCGGCAGAAATCTTGGGCGTCTGGCAAAAACTCTACAGAAAGATGAACATACATGAAGGAAGGTTAACAGAACTGGCCCTGGTATAGCACCTTGTTACAAGGACGAATCTATTCATATGACCTTAGATTCTTGAGCATGCATCAGAATACCATTGAGTTACAATCAGAATACTGAGTATGTATGTAGCTTAACATTATTATTGTTTATGTCACTGTTCATTTATAATTATTATGCATGTGACTGTAAGCCTGCGTGTGCGTGCATGTTTGAGAGAGAGAGAGAGAGAGAGAGAGAGAGAGAGAGAGAGAGAGAGAGTGTGTGTGTGTGTGTGTGTGTGTGTGTGTGTGTGTGTGTGTGTGTGTGTGTGTGTGTGTGTGTGTGTGTGTGCGTGTGTATGTTTGTGAGTGTGTGTATCTGTGTGTGTATCTGTGTGTGTTTATGTGTGTATATGTGTGTATATATATATATATAGTGTGTGTGTGGGGGGGGGGGGGTGAAACACCAAGCCAATGTGCCAGGATCTGGACTATAAAGATGTATCTTATCTTATCTCTTAACCTTATTCAGTGAACCCGGACCAACGTGATGTCTGTGTCAGGCCTATAGACTAACCCAGTTAAAGACGGGGATCACTTATTACATACTCTGTAATTAATTATTAACAAATTGGATCATTGATAGTACATGGTAACCAACTACATACCAGTTTATCAACCATTGTTCGACTTTCTTTTCCAGTGATATTTTCCCCCTCGGCATCTACTTCTTTTTTTCTAGTATCTTTGTCTTACGGAGGTTGACTAGATATCATTTTGGAAGCTTGATAGCATATTATATTCATGCTCTACAGACTACAACTATAATATGCTCTATCCGCTTTACAACCATTCGTAAACAAATAAACACATGTATTATGTTTGGAGAAAGGAACACACAGATGAATCTGGTAAATCTAGCGCAGTGTTTAGCCAATTTTTCATTCAATTACTTTCATCCCTTAACAAGTCTCGCCACTAATTCGCCACCCCCATGGGGAGCAATGTGACGATGTGCTTGACCACGGTCACGCTATATGAAAATACTATGTCACTGACTGACTGAATTTGCGTTAACACCAAAGTGCATTCCGTTCCCCCCCCCCCCCCCCCCCCCCCTTTTCACAAGCAGTATGACGCATCATAATTAATGAATACATGTGTACACAAAGGCTGCTGTAAGTCATGTAGGTGCGATGCGCCATAAATGCTGACTGTTGTTTAGCAACTTGTTGTTTGTTGTTGGGTTTTTTTTGGTTGTTGTTTTTTTGGTTTTTTGGTTTGTTTGATTTTTTTTGTTTTTTACTTTTTTTTTATTTTATTGATTTTTTTTTTGATTTTTTTTTTTTTTGGGGGGGGGGTTCTTTCTTGTCCGTGTATTTTATGCTTTTTGGCATCTGTTCCGCAATTAATGAGGCAGAATATTACGCCGGCCTTATTGGTGGGTAGTTACGGTTGTTTTACTACGTTATATTCTCTCGTCTCAATAACATCGACAGTGATTCTTTTCCGTTCAGCCAGCCTATAAAGGTGTGCTGGGGTTGCAGCTGAAGTTTCTAGCAACTTTTCAGTCACATTCCTGATTCTAGAGGCCCGAAATGGGCGATTTGCTGAGGTCAACGGTGCTAAATCTAGACATGCTGTTTGACTGAGTCACAGCAAAAGATTAAATGTTTATTTTAACAAGTGATCATCAAGTCCATCTCATTCATTTTTTTTTCTTCCAAATTTTACTCACATTCACATATGGTCTCACTTGTACAAGAGAAAGAGAGAGAGAGAGAGGGGGGGGGAGAGAGAGAGAGAGAGAGAGAGAGAGAGAGAGAGAGAGAGAGAGAGAGAGAAAGAGAGAGAGAGAGAGAGATACATGTATTTGTTAAAGTAAGGTTTTACGGAGCTCTCGACTGCATAAAGGTTATGTTAGCGCCAAGAAGTGGATGTACAGAGAAACGGGGAATTTCAGGCCTACTCTGCTCACCTCTCTCGCCTCAACACAACAGCACAAAGCCTGCTTCGACTGTCAATTCAAGGCACCCGGGGAAATAGTTCACAAGAATGACAAACACGCAAAAGAAGTAGAGGGGAAAATCTCTACTATGGTAAGGATGAGGAAATAAAAAGCAGCAAATGTTGTTCCGGCGGAGTATGAGCATGACATTGATAAACTAGCCCTTTTAGAAAAAAAAAAACAATTCTGCTGTGCATAAGAACTTTTGTGGATGGCGTACCTAATGACAACTTCAGTCAGTAACACTGCCCTGATGGGGAGTGGGGGAAAGAGAGAGAGAGAGAGAGAGAGAGAGACAGAGAGACAGAGAGAGACAGAGAGAGAGAAGAGAGAGAGAGAGCGTCGACATATTTAAAACTCACTTGGGGGCAGTGTGCGCAGAAACCATGAAAATGCTGCAGACTTCATTGTTACAAAGTAAAGTGTTGAGGACACCGAGGCGGGGGGAAACGAGAGGGAAACAAGGCAAAGTTGTAGGTCATAAATTGCCATTGGGCCGGGACAGGCTCTGGCATACAAATAACGTATAGTGGGGTTGTTTGTTTGTTTTTAAAAAAAATGTTTTTACTTTGATGAAGGTCAGCAGACTCTGCATTGAATGCTTGGAAAGAGGAAAATGGATGGCAAAAAAAAGTAGAAGGATGTAGGGGTAGAGAGAGGCACACGCGGTTGAACAAGTCTTGAATTTTTAATTATTTTTTTTAGTAAGAATTCTGCGCACCCGCCAACCACCCACAAGTCTTGAATTCAGAAAAAGGGTATATGGTTGGACGGAAAATATTTTAGTACTGTTAGTGTTAGCTTGATGAAAACAAGGATTGAGTTTTAGTTTCAGTAAGTGTTTTACGGCACTTGCAACACAATAAGATCATACAGGTATAAGTGGCG